TACAAAGTCTTTCAGAAACAAGTGAAGCACAGTTGTTAAACACCTGAGGTAATTTCCAATTTGGAAGGAATGCATTACTGCGGCTTCCTAGAAGGTTTTTTATTTGATAACTTAGTCACAAAAACATCATGCACTCTTTTAACTTGGGTTGATTTACTTATTTCATTGATGTGTGATTGTTAATTATATTCTGATAATACTACCAACAGAGAGAAAGGACTGCAACTTTAAATTCTATATGATGAGGTTTCATTTGGAATGTGAAGCTCAAGTCTCTCATGAACTGTTCAAATGTATGACTTTGGTAGCCAAACTTGTTCTATCTTGGAGGTCAAATTATTGCAGTAGAAACAGATCACTTTGACAGTTTATTACTTCAGATTTTTTGAATCAGACTTTTTGATTTAAAGAGGCAAACATGAGAATCGTTTGAGGAGTTTGATTTTGACCTATAATGGATACTTAAAAGAATTGTTTTTCCACAAATGTTGGCCCAGTGGCCAACATTTTAAGATCATAGTTCAAAAGATAAGCATTTGATTTTCTTCAGCCACTTCTATATTTATGAACTGCTAAGAAAAATCCAGGAGAAGGAGAAGGTATCAAAGAGAAAGAAAATAAAAGTTACAATGACTGTTTTGCTCTCATCTGCTGTGATGATACAGCTTACTGGTAAGGTAGCTACATTAGCTGTTAAAAATATATTCTTGATTGATTTCCAGCTGCCCTTGTCTAATTCAAGAACAATATAGCAGATGTCCTGTTACGTGAATTGGAAATGTTAAATGAATTTATGCACTCATTTATATTTTGCAAGGGTGTCAGTCAATGGAATTTCTGTACATGTATAGATAGCTACATAATTTCAGATTTCTGTAAGTACTATAATTACTAAGATTATTATTTATCTCTAGGCTTACTTTTGAAAATCTTTTTGTCAAGTTTAAGATTTTTCACTATACTTTTCATATAGTGCTGTCTTACTATATGTAGAATGGAATTAAAATATAATTGGTGCCTAAGAATGGCAATTGAATTGCACACTTCTTTAGTAATAAACTTCTTTGAAAATGTTTCTATTCTCTAAGATGGAGCAGCTATGGATATAGTTGAAAAATATGTGGTTTTGATTTCTACACACCTCAAATGAGCATTTTATAAAGGGATGGTAATTTTAAGTTTGGTTTTACTTTAAATTAGTCCTGGGTGAATAGTTCAGGAAGAAAATAAGGAATCCTGCTGGCCATCTTGATTTAATTTACAACCCTGAACTTAAATAGAAATATATAGGAACAAACCTACATTTAAATGGGATGGGTATGAATTGTTGGCAGTCGAAGAACCTGAAATATTATGTTGTGTCATAAAAATAGACATTCTCTGCTGTTGTTATGTTACAGTATTTCTTCAGCTACATTTTCAGCGCTTTTTTTTCCTAAACATAATCTTCAATTGAACTTGACCTAAATATGTATGCTGTACTAGGTTTTAAAATAGGTAATTATTTGGGGGACTAAAAAGATCGTGCTGGGTGAAGGCACATATGTTAAACGTGGCTGATCCCATTTCGATCCCTGGCACGATGTGGTCCTAAAAGAACATCAGTAAGTAGGGTGGTCAAGGTAATCCATGGCATCACAGGACCTCCTCCTCAGGGGCCAGCAGCCTCAAGCCAAGTGGCCAAATCTCCATGGGAGTGGTCCTCAGAACACTGCCTGGGTGGCCTCCCCACCCCCCCCAAGGGATAATTACTTTTATTTTGTTTTTTAATTCTTTTATTGAATCAGTAAGATACACAGTTATAAGGTTGTTGCATTATTTGTGGAAATATAAATTGAATCAGTCTCTATGGAAGAACAGTATAGAAATTTCTTAAAACTATAAAGTAGATCTATGATATGGAAGAAAAAAAAAGAAATATTTTCCAGGGCCTTGCTTCCCTGGAAAGCTATCTTGCTTTGTAGAGAGTTCACTTGCTCTCCAACTAGCTGGATACTAAAAAAAAATAAGCATTATGCTCATTTGGGGACCTCCTCCCAATACTAATTTGGAGCCTAATTTGTTTGGGTAATTAATGACAGAAGCTTGAACAATGCCTTTTTATGGTGGTATCAAAATGCAATTGTGAAAATTAGGTCTAGCTTAAGCAATAAACTTAATAGTATGTTCATATTTGGCAAACAAAGTGCTTGACTGATATTTACTCCAAGTTTATACTTCTGATATCTTTAACACAAAACCAGTCACCTTGCATATGTCATAGTACTTCAAAGTAGATTTAAGACTTTAATGAAAAGTAGCTACTTCTAATTTTTTTAATTTTTATTTACTTATAAATTACTTTGTATTTCTTGATCCAATAAAGAGGTATTATCACAAAAATACAATTATACTTTTGTAAACATCTTATGCTTTGGCTTTGGTAACATGAATTATTCCTTAAACAGAAAAATATGTGAATGAATAAATGAGTAACGTTCTCCCCTCTGCACCTCTTTTTCACCCTCCCCCAAACTTTTTAATCCTTTGCCCTATAATCATGATTAGGTTTCTTTTATTCTTTAAAATCTAAAGCAAAGGGACAAATTTCACCTACACTTTGGCAACTTATCTTTTTAAGCTTCTATCCAACCTCTTTTTTTCTCCATTTAAACTTCCATTCACTTACCAGTACTCTCTGTTATGATTTTTCTGTTCATCATTGATCTGAAATTGCACTTCATCATAAATTAGGCCTTATCTTTTTTTTCTCTCCATGAAATTTTGCTTGTTGCTTATACTTCTGAAATCTCTCATCCCATTCTTGTATAATTTAATTTCCTTCCTTCTAGTTTTTAAAAAACTTAGGGATTTTCCTTATCTTTTATTAGAGCACTTAGTTTCTTTTACTACCTCACAATTGATTTTTATTTTAATTGTGGTAATCCATGGTGTTTTTACTTACCTTTTCTATATCATCTTTCTAATGTAATTTCTATCTGGGTGATTATCTTTAAAATATATTTATTTTCACAGAATGCCACTCATATATTTCCACTTTATTTGACACAGATACTGCATGTAAAACAGACACCTCACGCTCGAAATATGCATAGAACTATGTAGACACACACTTTTACTGCAACAAGTGCTTTGTGGATTCTTTCTCCTAACTTGGTAACTTTATCAGTCTTCACCTCCCCACCTCCACCCTTCTCATCTGCGTTCAGTCATCCATCAACCGGTAGGAATTCAAATTCCTAAACATTTCACTCTGTTCTTTCATCTCTTTGTTATTGTTATAAATTGTGTCTTCATGATCTAGTCCTTGAACTTGTTCTTATCCTTTTAGATATTCAGAGTCCTTTCATCAATAATGTCGTGGGCTGAACCCAGACCCACCTAACTTTGTTTCTACGAACACACTGCAATGCTTTTATATTAAATTAGCTGTTCGACTGGCAAAAGCAGGGTACATGGACTATTTCAGTATTATAATTAAAAATATTTTGTTATTGAGGCTGGAGAGAGAGAGTACCATGGGCAGGGGGCTTGGTGTACACATTGCCTAGCCCAGTTTGAGCCCTCCAATACGCCATGTGTTTCCCACCCTCACACCCAAGCACAGAGCAAGAAGTAAGCCCTGAGTTCCACTGGAACCAGTGCACACGCACGCATGCGCACACACACACAAACTTACACACGAACACACACACGTGTTTGTATATGTATTTTATGAGTTACCTAAAAAGCAGCACTGTAGCACTGTCCTCCCCTTGTTCATTGATTTGCTCGAGCAGGCACCAGTAACGTCTTACAACAAATTATGAGACTTGTTGTTACTGTTTTTGCCATATCAGATACATCACAGGAAGCTTGCCAGGCTTTGCTGTGCTGGCGAGATACTCTCCGTAGCTTGTTGGGTTTTCTGAGAGGGGCAGAGGAATCGAACCCAGGTTGGCTAAAAAGTATAAATTAGAAATACGCATTGAATATTGAATATAAAAAAGTGTACATTTAAGGAGGGGACTTTGTCCACCCCTAGTGGTGCTCAGACTATTCTTGGCTCTGTGCTCAGGCGTGACCCCTGGTGGTGCTCAAGGGACCGTACGTGGTATCTGGAATTTGGACCATTGTTATAATCACAACACACACAAGATACATGCCTTACTTCTTGTACTTCCTCTGTGGCTCTAAATGCACGCATGTTTTATAGAAATCAGATTCACTAATCATTCATGTATTTAAGAATTATCAGTCACCTTGTCTGTGTGACAAACATAGAAAATAAAAACCTGAGTCCCTTGAGCAATTTATAGTCTTATGAAAAACCACGTAGACAAAAGCTGACAGTGCAGTGGAAGACTGCTAAACAAGGGTTAATGTAAGTTTTATGAGCACCAAAGTGGGAAATAGTTATACATGAGAAAAGTGCAACAAGTATCAGGAAAGTGTTTATTTAAAAGTGGATTGGGAGGGGATGGTCAGGAGATAGTATAGCAGTTAGAGAGCACAACTACCTACCTTCGATTCCCAGCACTCTGTGGTCCCCTTGTGTGTCCCCAGCTATATAGCCTTGGAAGTCCCCAATGCCAATGCATCACATCCTTGGGCCCTTCTGTTGAACCGGGGGTGTAAGTATTACTGGTGTGACCCCTGGACCTCCTGATCACTGCTTGGGAGATCCCTCAAAAGAAAAACAAAAGTCAAACACTGGGTTTTGAAGAAACTGTGGGGGTTGTATACCAAGGTCAGGTATGTTCATGTATACCCACGTGCACTTGTGTAATTCTAAACATTGGAACAGATTGCATGAGTTAATACAGATGAAGGCAAGGAAACAAGTTTAGAAGGCAAGTGCTAAAATATAGGGGGGAAATGATGTGAACCCAGAATAAAATTCTAATTTTGCAAAGAGGCATACTAGGAGAAAATATAAGAACTGCATTCTAAAGAAATAACCAAATTGTGCATGATGTATTTGCTTATTTATTTATGTACTTATTTGTTTTAAACTGTAGACATGGGATGTAGAGCTGGAAAGATCCGCGGAATCCTGGGCTGAAACGTGTTTGTGGGAACATGGACCTACAAGCTTGCTTCCGTCAATTGGACAGAATTTGGGCGCACACTGGGGAAGGTAGCTTCACGTCTTTTTTCTTTCTGAAAATATAAATGTTTGAAATGATACAAAATGTATTTTAATCACTGCAGACTTTCAAAGACTTAGAACCTAAAGGGGAATCAAGTAATGCCACTAACCCAAAGAGTAAAAGATAAATGACCGAAATGAGCAACAGTATTTTACACTTATTTTTAAGTTATTAACATATTAATAATGTGTTTAAGTGTAGGAGATTAAGAAATGACACAAAAACATGTCTACCCAACTGCATTATACTATTTTGGCACCACAGTTTGTTTGCATTTTCCCTACTTTGTTTGATCTGCATGGTGATTTTCTTTCAAATAGATACAGGCCCCCAACTTTTCATGTGCAAGCATGGTACGATGAAGTGAGAGACTTCAGTTACCCATATGAGCATGAATGCAACCCCTATTGCCCATTCAGATGTTCTGGTCCTGTATGTACTCATTACACACAGGTATGTTTCTGTCTATACTGCGCCTCATTCCTCTGGGTTAAATTTAGATAACTATAGAAGAATTTAGACCCCTGGATTTGCATCTTTCTTATGTGAATGCCCTTTGTTATGATAAATTAAAAAATTATAAGCAATAGAAGCAATTTTCAGGAAAATGAAGCAGCATCTACTTACAGAGATGTTTGCTTAAAAGTTTACATCAAGCTTGTTGGGAGACTTCCTAGCAGTGCTCCTGGGCCAGATCCACTCCCACTGATATTCTGCCTTCATGATGTAGGTGTGATGCACGTCATCGTGTGGCCGGTCTTGTGGTACTAATCCCCTTGCTGCTGTAGACCACTGAGGAGGCACAAAAGAAGGCATATGGTTGGGTGAGGACAGTGTGGCCCCAGAAAATGCAAAATGCAAACAAGATATTGGCTACTTTCAAAGTCAGGTGTCAGTCCTTCGGGGGCACACCCAGTAGTGCTCAGTGCTCAGGCTCTTTGTTGGCAAGTCACTTCCAGAAGTTCTAAGGGGACCCTGTAGTGATTGTGATCAAAGCCAATGTGCCAAGCATTTGTTCTGCCTATTGAATTATCTCTGCAACACTCAGGTGCCTTTTTATTTTTTTCCCAACAATTAGAATTTTTTTGTTTACCAGTGGAATGCATTATTTACATGTTTGAAACTTTTTGATTGTTCACTGTCTGCATTTGAGTTAGGATGTGTTCTAGGTTTCTAAATAAATAACAGGGCAGATTCTACTAGACAAGCAGAGCTCACAACTGCTGAGTTTCTAAAATTTCTATGGTCAGTTATTAGGGGACATAAAGCACATTGTTCTATATGCCTTGCATGTGACAAGATTAAGATCAACAGTGAACTCCCTGATAACCAGTGAGACAATGAAAATATCACATTATATAAGAAATTTGAAGACCTAAATACTTTGCTCAGTACTTTATGTTTAAGGTGAGAAGTTTCGTTTCTTTGTTCACAGAAGTATTAATACGGTATTTTAGGTTTATGAGGCTGAAACTTCTATATTATTTAGTATATTCATATTTTGAAGATGCTGCATTTATAGCCTGACCATTTTTCCTGAATATTTCTTTGGTTCTTTAAATTAAGCACTTTGCAAAGTCTCTGGAAACCTATCTTTTTTTTAATGATTTTTGGGTCACACCCAGCAATACACAGGGGTTACTCCTGGCTCTGAACTCAGGAATTACTCCTGGCAGTGCTCAGGAGACCATATGGGATGCTGGGAATCGAACCCAGGTCGGGCTTGAGCAAGGCAAACACCCTACCCACTGTGCTATCGCTCCAGCCCTGCAACTTGTCTGTTTAGACATTGCCTCATTTCGTATCGAATGATGTGTCTTTCTTGAGTTCAGTTTTAGACATTTTTCTTAGACATGTTGTTCTTATCTCAGGCTACTTTATCTGAGCTTTTTGCTTTCCCGATACAGGTGGTGTGGGCAACAAGCAGCCGGATAGGCTGTGCCATCAATTTGTGTCATAACATGAACATATGGGGGCAGATATGGCCCAAAGCTGTCTACTTGGTGTGCAACTACTCTCCCAAGTGAGTAGGCAAAAATATTAGTTTCTTTCACATTGTTTCCTTAACAACTTGAAAATCACCTTATGTTCCCGAACATTTCCCCTAATCCCTAGTCTTTATTAATCAGTAGAGTGTATTGTTTCAACTCAGTTTACCTCAAGGCAACAATTATGACTGCTTGCTGCATAAAATCAGGGTTTGAAAGGATACAAAAATTGACCTGTGGACACAGGGTTCTACCTTTGTCCCAGTTGTTTTCATTGTGCTCCTATGCTGCACAAATATATAATTATTTTGACTGTTGGAGATGAGGAAGTCTAAATTCACTGAGAAATGCAATTTCACCCAGGTAGAGAGAGACTCTTCAGATGACCTTATTGAAAATATACACAACTCCTCAGTGTCCAATATATCGCAACTGTTTTTATTAAAAGCAAAAGGAAAATAGATGAATATTCTAGACTAGAGTTTGGTGTCCTGCAGTACCTTAATTTTGCAATTTTCAACAAGGTACGTAGTATATTACTTAGAATATTTTCAAGGAAATAGGCCACTATTTATACTTAAACTTAGTAAGCAATCACTGTATCACTGTCATCCCGTTGTTCCTCAATTTACTCAAGTAGGTGCCAGTAATGTCTCTATTACTCCCAGCCTGAGATTTTAGCAGCCTCTCCTTACTCATCTTTCCCAACAATTGGAGGCTCTTTCGGGGTCAGGGAAATGAGACCTGTTATCGTTACTGTTTTTGACTTACCGAATACCCCACAGGGAGCTTGCAAGGCTCTGCCTGTGTGGTCAAGATACTCTTGGTAGCTTGCCGGGCTCTCCAAGAGATATATATATATATATATATAAACATATATGTATATACATATATATATTGCTGTATGGTTTTGTCTACTGTCTGAATCCCATCAAATATGGTGTGGTAATTATGGAAAATGGGTAGGAAGTATCTAAAGTGTTGTGTGGCCGCAAAGCGGCCACTCAGTCCAGAAAGTGGCCTGGACTGTGGTGGCGGTTGGGTAGTGGAGGTCAGCTTTGAGCGCTGGGTAAGTAAAAAAAAAATCTCTGTGATGAAGTATATAAATATCCTAAATCTACAAGCAAATAGTATTTAGAATAATTCTTAGGCAATTACAGTTCATATTATCTTGTGTACTGTGTTTTAAACTACCTGTTAATACAGTTGATGATCTCTTTAAGGGGAAACTGGTGGGGCCATGCCCCATACAAACATGGACGGCCCTGTTCTGCTTGCCCACCCAGTTTTGGAGGGGGCTGTAGAGAAAATCTCTGCTACAAAGGTATGTGCCGCTGTCTTATAATATTCAATTTGCTTGTATTTTAAAGCAGCTTCTGCATTGATTTCTATTTATAAATTCAAAAGTGCATTTAATTAAATTATGACATGAAGCTTCTAGTAAGTCTAACTCTACTTCAGGTATTTAGAAGAGTTTATTGAAATTCAAATATGTGTGTGTGGAGAGAGAGAGAGAGAGAGAGAGAGCTGGGAATAGGACAGTGATTAAAACTCATACTTAGCCTACGGCTGACCCAGATATTATCTTATCCTGGATACCACATGGTCCTCTAAACATCAAAGGATGTGGCCTGGAGTTCTTTGAGCATGGGTAGGTCACCCTGTAGCCCTCAGCACCAAGAAATCTGAGCAGAATTGCATCTTCTAAAGGCAAGGAAGACTGGCCCACAATAGGAAACTTGCCACAAGTCGGGGGAAGAGGGAAGTTAAGATAGAAAAGTGAACACTGTGACAATAATTGTTGGAAATGATCGTTGGAAATGATCACTCTGGACAAGAATTGAATGCTGGAAGTAGATATATGACAACCTTTCAGTAACTGTATTGCAAACCACAATGGCCAAAAGGGGAGAGAGAGAGAGAGAGAGAGAGAGAGAGACAGAGACACAGACACAGACAGAGAGACAGACAGACTGCCTTAGAGGCCGAAACTACAGACATTGTTGGTGGGAAATGTACACTGGTAAAAAAGGGAAGGGTGTTGGAACATTGTATGACCTAAACCCAACCATAAACAACTTTGTAACTGTGTATCTTTTGGTGATTTAATAGGAAAAAACACCTTTTTATTAAAGAATTGCATCTTCAGATCCTAGCATTGAATCGCTTATGGGAGTACCCCTCCCCTTTAAATAAAACAGAAACAGTCAAACAATCTTTATAGCATTTGTTAGTCTGTTATATGAATATATATTTAAAGGTAAATTCCATGATTATTTCCGACAACCATTTCTTATGTTTCCTTGAAATTAGCCTAGAGTGACAAGAAATTTTATAGTTATATAAAACATTGTTATCTATTATTGACTAGAGTTTTTATATTTTTGTGGAAGATTAAAGACATTTCTTTTCTGCCATTAAAAAATTATTGCCAAGTCTTTATCCTTGAATGTTACAAACCATAATGAATTATACTTATTGTCAAGGTGCAAAGTATATATTTTTTCTGTCAAAATAACAAAAAATGTTTTATTACAATATTGCAAACGCATTGGAGAAGTTGTTTCCTCAAATGCATTTAATGACCTCAAATGAAAATATTAGTGGGGTGATTATAGCATAAAGATAAACTTAGAGGACACATTTTGAAAGTAATACCCTTATAGGCTATCCCAATGGATTTTTTTTCTCTATCACGGTCCTCCCATTGTTCATCGATTTGGTCGCGCGGGCCCAGTAACGTCTCCATCATGAGACTTGTTGTTACTGTGTTTGGCATATCGAGTAGGTCACGGGTAGCTTGCCAGGCTCTACCATGCGGGAGAGATTCTCGGTAGCTTGCGCGGCTCTCCGAGAGGGGCGGAGGAATCGAACTCGGGTCGGCCATGTTGGCTGCGTGCAAGACAAACGCCCTACCGCTGTGCTATCGCTAAAAATAAAATTAATTGCAGAATAAGAAAATGCATGAATAAATGCAACCATTTCTTAACACATATGAAAAGCTGTATGATTTTTTCTCCATGTCTGGTTACCTTTTCATTGTAATTAGCAGACAGAAAAGATCCATGCATATCACTGTGCTGGATTAAAAATTGTCTTTTGTTTCTAGAAATGCAGCAGTTTCCTTCATTGAGTGCAATACTGTTTTTCAGTCTCAAGTCTTCAGCCTACCTTCTTCTCATTAATAACTGCTGTATTTTATTTAAAGCAGAATTTTTTTGACATCTTAGATAAATACATTCTGTGGCTGAAATTATTATCATTTGTTAACTTTAAATTTCTGCAAATGGAACTTCTTTCTAAAAAAGGAAAATATTTTCTTAAAAACCTATCATAGTAAATAACAAGGACATGTCCATGTTTCTATAGATTATGTTGTCTTTGAGGAGTATCTTAAATATGAGCCGCCTGAAAATATTAATAAATTATTTAATTTTTTCATCAAATTTAAATTCAGTAAACCCAGACTTCACTAGATCACTCTGTAACTTGGTGGCATGAAAAACATCACTGATGCCATTTGAAAATTTAATGAACTTTAGAATCATCCTATTTAATATTAACCCAGTGGGAGCAAAGGAATAACAAGGGTTCAAACTAATTGATATCTGTTTTGTATAATCCAATGTAGTCTGAAACCAAAACATATGCCAAAAAGCAATATGGATTTTTCTCTAGTTTAAAATATTCAAAGGCACACAAAGCAAAACATTATGTGATCATTAGTGCATGGGTCAAGTAGAATTCAGATTAATTAAATTCTTTCCAACAGAGGGTTCAGATCGATATTATCCTCCTCGAGAAGAAGAAACAAATGAAATTGAACGGCAACAGTCTCAAGTACATGATACCCATGTTCGGACAAGAGCAGACGACAGCAACAGAAATGAAGTGATAAGCACACAGCAAATGTGTAAGACCTCTACATGATATACAGAATTTAAAAAATGTCAACGATGCGATTTTTTTCAAATGCCGGGCCAGAAAGTTAGTACAGTGGGCACGGTGCTTGCCTTGCATGTGGCCGACCAGATTCAATCCCTGACACTCCATATGGTCTACTGATGAGCAATCTCGGAGTGATCCCCAAGTGTGGAGTTAGGAGTAAGCCCTGTACATCACCAGATGTGGCCCCCAGAACAAACAAAAAATTTAGAACAGTCAGTTATAACTCAGGAGTAGGACCTGAGTGCCACCAGGTGAAGCCCTAACCCCCCCCAAAAATAGTTAGAATGGTAATAACTAAGTATTAGATTATATGTGCTGACTTATAGACATTTTGGGATTGTATAAATTATTCTGTTTTTCAGCCCAAATCGTGTCCTGTGAAGTAAGACTAAGAGATCAGTGCAAAGGAACAACCTGCAATAGGTGAGGCTTATTTTTCTCATAATCTACTCACTAAATATAAGAAATGTTTTCACTCTACATTGATATACAGAGAAATTAATTTTGTTCCTTGATTATTTCATTTAGATATGAATGCCCTGCTGGCTGTTTGGATAGTAAAGCTAAAGTTATTGGCAGTGTTCATTATGAAATGGTAAGTGCTATCAATGAAATTTGGAGATAAAGTTTTTTATATAGACAGAATCTTAAGTCATTAAGGTACTAGTCATCTCCAAAACCAGAACTGTTTATATTTCAACATCCTCTCTCTGTTCCTTTTTCTCTAAGCAATCCAGCATCTGTAGAGCTGCCATCCATTATGGTATAATAGACAATGATGGTGGTTGGGTAGATGTTACTAGACAAGGAAGAAAACATTATTTCATCAAATCCAATAGAAACGGCATTCAAACAATTGGGTAAGTACCAGAATAATCTCTTGGATATGATGATTTTAAACTGTACCTGTGAAGTAACATTCTTTTAAAACAAAACAGAAATATGTAATTTATAAAAAGAAAAGATATTTCATCTTCGTTTCAGCTATATAATTCCCATAGTGAGAAAGAAAGTAAAGTATGTGTATACAGCTAGATGTATGCATATATTCAAGTTGAGCAACATACTAATCTTCCTATTTTCTCACCTTTTATTAGAAATGTACAAATTGAAAGCTATTCCTGATGTGAAACAATATTTTTCAGCTATGAAAGAATATACTACAGAGAAGTCCAGTGAATTTGTGTCTTCTCCCTATTTAGGAAAAACTGGTTTATTTCATGCCAAAATAACTTTGTTAATGTGATAGATTAATAAGTAAAAGAGAATTTTGAACATTTCTCTAAATATATACTATAGAGTGACAGCACAGCAGGTAAGGCGTTTGCCTTGCACACAGCCGAGCCAGGTTGATTCCTCTGCCCCTCTCAGAGATCCTGGCAAGCTACCCATGGTGTATTCGATATGCCAAAAACAGTAACAATAAGTCTCACAATTTGTTGTGAGACGTTACTGGTGCCTGCTCAAGCAAATGGATGAACAACAGGAGGACAGTGCAGTGCTACTTGCTTGCAGACATGTAGTACAGGGATTCTAGTGGATCTGGCTGATTCCCATTCAGTCTAAGCAATAAATGGTCGCCTGAGCATCTCCAGGTGTGCTGCACCCCCCCCCCCGCCCCCAAACACCATACCAGTGCTTCGGCCTTAGTAGCACTGTGTCTGAGCACCCTTCATTCCACTGGGTTGAGAATTAGCTGTAGTACCTCTCAATTCCCACCTCCCAGGCATGTTCTGAGACCTCTACCTCAAAAAACAAACAAAAAACTGTATCATATCACCATTTAACTGTTTTTCCATTTAAATATAGGCTCAGCAAAACAGCATTGGTTATATGATTACAAAACATTATATGTTTTCATAGATATGTGTACTGTAAAAGTAGTAAAATGAACTTTTGAAATATAGTGTTTCTTGATTGGAAAAATATAAACACTATTGAATTGCATGTGAAAATGCCTATTCTTAGGATGTAATAAATCATATTTTTGCTTGCAAGTATACAGTTGCATGAGAACCCACAGAAGAAATTTATAATGATATTAAAGAATGGATTAAAAATCATTGCAAATTAATTGAATTATATCCTGTATGCAAAATTTGATTCAAAGGCTTGATGTGTGCTTTTCAGTTCCTACCAGTTATTTTTAAAATTATAGCTTTAGGGGCCGGTGAGATAGTACAGCCAGTAAGTGTGGCTTCCCTTATATTCGGCTGATCCAGGTTCAATCCCCGGCACTCCATATTGTTCGCAACACCAGGAGTGATTATTAAACACAAAGTCAGAAGTAAACCATGAGCACCTCCAGGTGTGGTCCTAAAACAAATAATAATAATAACAATAAGTTGTAGCTTTATAGAAAAATTAACGCACTAATTCTGCAATTATTAGTTACCATGAAAACAATATATAGTAATTACTAGCTTTAGTAAGACAAACATTAGATGTTGTGTAAAAGAATATTCTTTTTCTTTTACCGTTTCCCTGGTTTTGATTGGTTATTGTAGAAACTCTGAAACCTGACAGTTGTGTCAGAAGCACTACCATAAATAAACCTTACCATAAATTAATAAGTAAGCCTTATCTTTTGCAGTAAGTGTTGTTTTTGAAAATTCCTTACAAGAAATACATATATTTCTTTGAGATAATTGTGGTGACACATTAGTTTGGCCTAACGGTAATAGGAAATTAATACACTGAGAATTTAAATTCTAATGGGAAACCAGAGGATAGCTGGTTATAAGTATTGTCTTTATGCTATTATAGATTTTTAATATTGAAAATGAAAATAAGATTATTATGTAATCTTGTTTGGTTCATACTTGATGAGAAAATGTACTTAGCATAAAATATATAATGTATTCACCTGCAATTAAATGTCTAAATCATCAAATAAGAATGCTTAAGAAATCCTTACAGACCCCAGAATGCTTGAAATTATTTCGATGATGTTACACAATGTGAAAATGATTGACATTTATGTTTTTATCTCCAGCAAATATCAATCTGCTAATTCCTTCACAGTCTCTAAAGTAACAGGTTAGCACTTTTTAATGCTATTTTCTTACTACTATCTTGCATGCTATTGTTTGCAGATTTGCTTAATTGGCTTTTCTGTGTTTTAATTCTTCAGTTCAGGCCATTACTTGTGAAACCACTGTGGAACAGCTTTGTCCTTTTCATAAGCCTGCTTCACACTGCCCCAGGTAAAGTTTTTGAAATGTTTTCAGTCTTTTTCCACAGTGACCAAATTGAGGGGTTTTTTCCCCTGGCAATGGTCTACTTTCTTGAGATTTTGTTGTCATCAGGACTCAAGCAATATTTCTCTTGGGATCTGTTTTTGTGTGCAGCTAATAGAAATTGCTTGTGAGTAGAATGTAAGGTATGAGCTAAGGAGAGAGTTTGAGGTCAGAAAAAGAAAAAAAAGGTTTTGGTCTGATACAATTGAAATGCTATCAGTTTTTAGGCCCTCTATAGAAAGAACAGATTTGGGGATTTGAGAAGATTAGGAATTTGATTTTAAGGATGTTTAATTTGAGATCAAGAAATTTGTTCATTCTGAGTGGAGTTGTTGATTAGCACATTTGGAATTGAGAAAAGGTTGTGGTAGACATATAAATTTGAAAATCATCAGTCTATAAATGGTTTAAAAATTGCTTACAAAAAATGTGAAGGAGCACAAGAGAAAGGATGAGATTATAAAGTCAATGACTCAAATTTTCTGTTATCCTTCTACAACTAACATTCTTTAGACACTTAGAATACCAAATTCTTAGATTTTTAGAGATGATTCTTAATGTTTCTTCTGCTTTATATTCAGAAGTTAGAAACCTCTTAGGCAGAGAGAAAGAAAGAAGGAGGGATCAAAAGGAAAAGGGCATCAATTATTTAGTGGATAAAAGTGGTTTTCTAGTACAGGATTGAATGCAGTATATACACTATTGGATTTTTAATGATCATACTGAAGTTTAGTGTGTTAATTTTATATCTATTGTCCCTTCAGTAGAAACACAGGGTTGAAAGTAATGTGTAATAAAATAAAAGTATAGAATAATATCATTTTTGATTACCAAAAAGAAAAAAAAATTGGTCCCCAAAACTAGAAGTCAGTAAAGCAACAGTAGTTGTATCTCCTGTCTGGTTTGTGATATTGACTTATCTCAGAAGAAAACCAGTGAGTTGGGCTGCCGAGATGTCATACAAGTGCTGGCATGTGTGAGGTCCTGATTTCAGTCCCCAACACTTCCTGCGACCTCCCCCACCCTTTTAGTGCTCGGGTTGTCCCTGGTATGCCTGGGCCCCAAATTACTAACAGTCGGGCCTGTACATCGAGGGGTAAGCCTTATAGGAAATTTAGCTTTATAATCTTGAATTGGCTTTTGTATATACTATCTAGGTTTTGCTAATAGAACAGGATGAAACAACCAACTGCTTAATTTCTTTTTCAGAGTCTATTGCCCACGGAACTGTATGCAGGCAAATCCACATTATGTTCGGGTAATTGGAACTCGAATTTATTCTGATGTAAGTATCCTAATTCATAAAATTTTCTGTATTCACATGTGTGTGTTTGTGTGTGTGAGCATCTGTTTACACTTTTATGTACTGTGTGAATAAACTATGTACATATACACTAGGAACAGAATTAAGAAACATATTCTGTCTTAGCTACAGATTCTCAGGAGAGCTCTACTTCATTACCACTAAAAAAAATGAATATCATATACAAATGAGTACATAATACTTTGTTTTTACTGCAGTTTTCTCTCTGTGCTACCCACATATTTTGTTCCAAAAACATAATAAAATAAATATTCTGGATGCAGTTCTCTTTTCTATAATGTTTATTTTAGTTCTTCAGTGCTTGAAATGCAAATTGAATAATTAATAATTTGTCAAATATACAAAGAGCATATTCACTGCCAAGGGGCATTTAAAAAGTGGCATTCCATGAAAAGCAATACATTACAAAAATCATAAGAAAGCAAACCAAGGGGATGTTGTAATGGATAACACTGAACAAGAGTATTTGCTGTGATGGCTTCAGTGTGGATAAGCACTTTTTGAGTTAGGTTTCAAGTGTGAGTTGGTAAAGAGAGTTAAGGAACTCATTCTTAATGGGGTGATTGGATCTACAAAGACATGATAGAGAGAGCTAATCAGATTTTGGTGGAAGAGCACATATGTTTGCTGGTAACTAAGCTGATGAGCACTGCAGCTAAAATTTGCCTCCAGTTCAATGTATGGGAAGAGGGATCCAGATTTTGAAGCATAGGTAGAGTCTTGAGTGCATGCTGATGAATTTAGATTAGGTAAATTATAGAAACAATTTATAAAAGAAGCCAGAAATACATATGTGAAGTATATTGTAAATTTGGCCATGAAAGAGGTCTAAAATTTTATCTTACTACCTTGTTTGTCTTGGTGAGGTCACTTAAACTTTTTTTTTTCAACTTTCGCTTTACTTTGGAGATTGTTCTCCAAATCTGTCTCTTCCAAACTTCAGTTTCCCAGTGTACCTTAAATATGCTGCTGGTATCTTAACTTTCTCTTCATCCCACTGATGCTTACTGTCTTTGCAAGCCTCCTTTGTATCATTTTTCTATCAAAATCATGATCAATCTTTATGTATTTTTTCAATCCTATTACTTGTTTTTCTCTTTTAGAACACAGCCATTCTTAGGTATCATGATTGTTCCCTCACCTTTTAAATTAATTTTTAAGTTTCTGAGGATAGCAGTTTGGTAATTAATTCATAGATCTGTTTTTTCTTTAACAGCATGACGCATGTCTAGCTGGGAACAGAACAGGCTTACTGCCTCCCTAACTTAAAGCACACAGATATTAAGTCAAGTACTTGCACACATTTGTTGAAAGTATAAAGAAATAAATACATATGAATGAACATACCTAGAACTATCAGAGGTTTCCAAAGAAATCGTTATTTCCAGATTTTCCTTTTAAGCACCCAGACTTTTAATTTTAGTTATGTCTGGTCTTTAAGCTCTCTCCCATATGTCTACACATGCAAGTCATTACTAGAGTCAAGATTCTGTTAGAATTTACATCCTGAGATTATTTTCTCTTCTTACCTCAATGAAATATGTAGGTAATTAATTATGCATTGTGTAATCTGAAAACCTATACATATTGCTATTTCATGGTGAGTGCAGAGGAAGAAATTCAACCGAAAACTGATAACTTTTCCATATTCTGCAAAATACATTCTTTGATACAGGATATACAGGCTAGTCCCCAGCACTTGGGGGATTGCACCCTCAGAACAAGTGCAAAGTATGGAAAGATTAGAATCAGTCTACAAGCTTGTTTCATCTCTCTGTCTCTGTTTCTGTCTCTGTATCTCTCTGTCTGTCTTTCCCACTTTCTCTCACTCCCTTTCTATTTAGAGTTGCAAATTGTACATTCTATTGCTTTGAACTTTCTCATTCATTGTGGATGGCATTCTGTTTTCATTAAAAGTACTCCACTCTTTTCACAGAAAAATCCTTCTTTTCATGATGGATTAGTCTTATTAAATGTGGGTATTAAAATAAAATCTCATCTGACCTCTGAACTGATATAGGAATGCTTGCTGACTGCAGAGTCATGAGGAAAAAAACATACCTTCTACTTATATTAAGTGGTTGAACTTAGTGAATGTTATATCTGAGCACTCTTACTGCCTTGGGAAAAAATGCTAATCATACCCTTTCAGAATAGCAAGACAAATACTGAAATATAACATAATTATTTTTAATTTCATCAGTTACAAATTGCATTGGGCTTAAGTATTAATGCAAAACTTTAAGTGAAGAATAAAATGCCTTCTTAGAAAAAGAATATCGTTTTAGGTCCATAGAATTTGATAATATTTAAAAAGGCATGAAAATTATTAAATAATTTCGCATTTGAAGTGATCTAATAACACCTGAACAATGTCAAAGTTCAAAAAGATCACTAATAAAGCAAGGTCATGTAATATGTGGATGCTTATGTGAACTTAGCAAAAAAAATAACCATTTACAATTAAATCACCTGCTTGAACAGAGGGATTAGAAAATAACACACCAGTGTGATTACAAAGACCCAGAGGTGGATTGCTTCCCAGAAATAGTTCAGTGTTCTTTTTTGTGGAATTTCCATGGGCTATCTTCCTCTGTTGACAAATTTTGGAAAAAAAATTGAAATCAATAAGATGTTAAAATTTAGACACGAGTTTAATGGCCAAAGGAAGAGTTGGCTTCTAGAAGTCAGTAGTTTAAAAATGAAAAAAATAAACCTATAAAAGTAATTTTCTTTCCCATAGAAGTTCCATTCAATTCAGATTACATAATTGCAACAGTGGAACCATAGTACATTTTTTGTAATACTTTATCCATAGTACAACCATAGTACATTTTTTGTAATACTTTATTTTTTGTAATACTTTATAAGACTATTCAAACCAGATTGATGAGTACTGAAAATTTTGGCTGAAGTTACGATTTTTCTTTATGTTTGTTGCCTTGAGGTTATTTTCTCGGCTATGTTTTCTCTGCGTGATACGTTATTTAACAGGAAAATAGCTCTCCCGTTCAATTTATTTGTATTTGGAAAAGGGACCCTTGAGATTTACAGAACTATGAGTTGTTTGCAGTTCAAAACTGAACATAATGAGGCATAGATAATCCAACCTGTGACTTTTTATTTAGCACTATCTCAGGAGGGTCCAGCAAAGACCTGAAATGTTTTAGTGATAGAGAATCATCACCTCTTGAATAGATGCAAAAAAGCACATTTGCATTTCATAGCTTTGCTAGTAGAAAGTGTCCATTGTTTGGACTGATGGGCCTTTGCTACATTCAGTGGGGAAGGAATTCTTTCAGTGCTCAGTTCTTGCTCTAACTGTGACTTTGGAAACATTCCTTTGTGCATAAAACACCATCTTGTAGCTGCTCAGAGGCTCCCATATAGAGACGGTTCTGGTAGAAGAGTAGAATGGGGCAAAGTCAGTGGTAATTTCCTATTAATCATGGGTGTTCCTTGCTCCTTCAGCTGTCCAGTATATGTAGAGCAGCGGTGCATGCTGGGGTGATTCGAAATCATGGTGGATATGTTGATGTCATGCCTGTGGATAAAAGAAAGACTTACACTGCTTCTTTCCAGAACGGAATCTTCTCAGAAAGGTAAATATGGATATGAGTATGCACACACACACGCACGCACACACACACACACACACACACATAACTTACTTGAGTATGAATTTGGGATTATATTGTTGAGTTTCCTTTGCACACTGTAATAGCTCTTCTGGGATGAGAGAAACTGTAGTACCAAAGGTGAGTGTCTCCTTCGGGCTTAGAAAAATCAACGTGGAAATTGGATTAGGAGCCAGAACAACCCGTGTGTTAATTGATAATGAAGAAATTTCTCTGATCCTCTTCTGGATTTTCTAGATTAGTTTTCATACTTAGTTCTTTTTAGGTGAGCAAGGCACTGACTATTTCTCTAATCCAGTTCTCTGACAAAGTATTTGACAAAAACAATGAATTTGATTTTCTCCATAGAAAAATTCTCTTTTTGATTGGACATTGGAGGCCTTATAGGACATAAATGAATTTTCTCGAGTCATCCTTAGTAGGATGTGTTGTAATGATTTGGAGAAGTACTCATGACTTAGAAAAGAACCTATGGTAACTTTTCAAATCACTGGTATTTGTGGAAGCAATGTTAAGTCCCGTTATTTTATGTAATTACAGAAAACTCTCTTTTATTTATTTTGGGAAGTTGTTTGTGCCACTCTTGGCAGTGCCCAGGGCCTGCTTCTGGATCTGTGCTCAGGGTTTACTGGTGAAGGTACTCAGGGGAAAGTACGTTCCCATACGTTCAGAGAATCAGGCTGGTTGCATGAAAGGCAAGTGCCTTAACCTCCTTGTACTAACTCTCTGGCCTGTAACTTTTAAACGTTTACTGAGAAATTTAAAATTACCAATTCAAAGTAAAAATGATATAGTTTATTTTAAATGGGCACTGACATGTCTATAATGCATGATATCAAGATTGCTTTACATTATTCTGAGTGGCATCTTCATAAAAAGACAGATTTGCATTTAGCTTATATTTCCAGATGACACCGGATTTGAGGCTCATTATTAAAATGACTTCCCTCTTTCCTGGCTCATTGTCTCTTCAGTCAGATCTGGTATATAAAATAGATTCAACTAACAGAGATTGATATGCAATTTTGTGACCTACACTCAATTATGAGACTTTATTTGCCTGTTAAGTTTATTGTATTTATTTCAAAACTATGCAATAATGGATGATCTTCTAAGAAAACAGAGTAACTAGTGTTGAACACCTGTTAGAAGTTTGCAAAGCAATCTTAGATATTTTAGGTTTGTTAGCCTTTCTGTTTTATCATTCCTCTAGTGTAGTTTTTATTAACTGTAATTTAGAAATGTGTAAACGGAGGCTGAGGGGTTCAGTCATAGACCCTGGGGCCTAACTAGGCAGTCTTAGATCCACGTTCATCTCTAGGTCCCTAGGCTTAGTGATGCTTTTTCTCATGGTATCATGGAAGATGAAATAGAAATACAACAAACGTATTTATTTTTCAGGACACCCAGTCAGCCTATTTCTTACAAACAAAAATGTCTGGGAAGATCAGAGCGGTACATAGGTACAGAGGGTAGAGCACCTGCTTAGCACATGGTCAGTAGGGTTTGATTCCTGGCATCCTATATGGTCCCCTGAACACTACCAAGAGTGATTCTTGGTGCAGAACCAGGAGTAATCACTGAGCATTGTTGTGTGTATTCTCAATACCCAAAACAAAAAACGTTCTCGATTAGCTTCTGCTGAGATGAGAGGCACACATCTGACTCATGTGTGCCTATTGTCTGTGCTTTGTGTATAGGCGTGTGATATCTTTGTCTTTTTTTCACTCTAAATTTCTCCGTAGTATAGAGACTTTGCTCTTGATTTTTGTTTGGGGGCCACACTTGGCCGTGTTCAGGGCATACTCCTGGCTCAGAGAATCAATCCCTTCCTCTGAGTTTAGGGGATCATATGACGTGACATGAATTAAACTTTGATCAGTTGCATGTAAGTCATGCCCTTTACCTGCTGTACTATCTCTCGGACCCAACACCAATTTATTATTATAAATTATAAAATAACGATTTATTATTATTATTATTATTATTATTTCTAAGAAAATAAACCCAATGCAAAAATCTAAAGACATCAAAAGTTTATTTTTTATTACATTAAATAACGATTAATGCTATTATTAATCTAATATGTAGGGGCTAAAGCAAAACATACCTTAACTTATATTGTCAAATAAAATAGAAATCATTCAGACTGAGTGCATGTCTTATGTATGGGAGGGCCAGGTTTGCGCCCAAGTACTGGCACACACAGTACCCTGAGCATTGCCAGGAGACAACACCCTAAGCACCATGCAATGAGTAGCCCCTTAGCACTGCCAAGTAGGGCCCCAGGCCGAAATAAATACACAAATGAAACAAAATAGATTCTGAGGGTCATGGAGATAGTACAGGTGTTAGAATGTGTGAATTCCATGGGTTCTGCCCCCAGCATCACATGGCCTCTGGAGCCTAGTGGGTTGCTGGGGTACAGCACACGTGGAGGTTATATTTGTGTGCTATAGACCTGAGAATGTTTATTTATACCAAGCACCACTGCAGTGACCCCTCTGCACCCCAGCTCTGTAAGGCCCAAGTAGCTTTGCCTTCTCCTAGTGCTGAACCTCCAACCCAGTTGGACTTAGGCACTCCTGAGCACTGCCCAGAAGGCCCCCTCCAAAAATTAGTATGGTTTTGGCATTGATTTCAATTTGTGTTGTAAAAGTAGTGCAAAGTGAGATTGAGTGCTCCCATCTGTGTGTTTCTGTAGATTTTTCTATTGCAGTGAAGAAAGTCTTAAGAACTTTCAGATTAGAACGTTGAGCTAAGACTTTCCTTGAAACTGTAGACTTGAGCCAAGAGAAGTATTCAAAGGGCTGGAGTTCATGCCTGGCATGTGTGAAGCCCAGAATCCGATCCCCTCACCAACTAGGCGCCTAAACACCACTAGGTGTAGCCAAAAATGACTTGAAGCACTTCCAGACGTGGTTCTGGTGGCCCCTAGCACTTTTTAACCTAAGTATCGAATCACCTGCTCTGCACTCCTGAGCTGAGTGTCCCCAAGAGTAACTCCCCAGTATCCCTGAGCACTGTGAGCATCAAATCATCCACTCTGCACAGCTGAGCTAAATATCACCAGGAGTAACACCCGGGATCCCTGAGCATTGTTGGGTACCCTGTGCAAGAAAGACATAACAAATATCAAAGACTGTAATAAGTATGATAGCACGATAACTAAATTGCCAGACTTGGGGAAAAGTAAGTTAGTGTTCTAGAGTATTGCTTAAATACGACAGTGTTTTTAAATTTGCTTTTAGCTGTTGTAGCTCATTGAAAACTGAATCTGAATAATCCCCCAGTGAAATGAAATAACAGCTGTTCACTTATGTTGCACTAAATTAAAAGGTGGTTTATATAAAACCTGTTCTATAATCTATGAGGTTCTATATAAAATACTGTAATAACCATTATTACACCTTGAAATTCTGAAGCCAAACATACAACCCAGATTTAAAGAATTATGTCATTCTCGCTTAGGATTTCCAAAAGCCATAAATTATAGTAGCGAAAGAAATGTGACCATCTGGATTTGTAGAGTTACTTTCCTGACTGTCATAAGAAAACATGATTTAGTTAAAGAGTTATATATAAGAATGACGTCAATACCCTATTTATATTCTTTGCAGTTTACAGAATCCTCCGGGAGGAAAGGCATTCAGAGTATTCGCTGTTGTCTGAATGAAATACATGCAAGAGGATCACAGAGACTATTCCAAATGCCATATTTTTAAAGTTTGTATAAAACTGTAACATTACTGTACAGAAGATATCAACTATTTTTCAGCCCCCTGCAAAAGTGCCAAATGCAGATAATTCTAGGTAGACAAAGTCTGTAAAGTAAAACATGGGACATTATTAGCTTTGGGGAAAATAATGGGTATGTAATGGTTTTAGAAATCCTGTGTTAAATATTGCTATATTTTCTTAGCAGTTATTTCTACAGTAAATTACATAGTCATGATTGTTCTACATTTTATATTATATTATATGGTGCTTTGTATATGCCACTAATAAAATGAATCTAAACATTGAATGTGAATGGCCCTCAGAAAATCATTTGATACATTTGAAATAATCAGTTCAAAAAATTGAAAGAAACCATGTATCTCCTTTTCCCAATCAAATGCTATGCTATTTTCTATCCCAAATAACCAAATAATTTCCACCTAATAACTATATGGTTATTCTTTAAATTTAGACAAGGAATATTAAATCATGGAAGTGCACTTCTTATTTTGTATAAAATAGTTCCTTAATATGCAAATGAATCTGTTTAAGTGTTTGATTCTTTGGGAAGAGCCTTGCTAGTTAACGGAATGAAATCAGTAGTGTTACTGTAAACCTTGCTAGTAATATAGAGGGTTAAGCATGGGTAGCCAAACTGAGGTCACACATTTTCTTTTGTATCCTGGCAAATACTCCTGCGGGCCAGGAAGTATGGTAGCAAAAAGTTTAGCAAAGATACACTAATGTATTGTATCACCTTTGCCACTGATGTTCCTATGGTAAATGGCTATGTGTATAAATGTTGCCATATAATATCTATAAGGTCGGTATGTTTATTTCTATGAAAAAATAAATGCATTGTGCTTTGAAACCAAAAATCTGTAAATGTTAATTTTGATAATTTTTTTCTGGTGAAATGTCTTTGCCCCTGTAAACATACTAAAATTAAATAAGTTTCAAAGTATTATTGGCCTTTTCTATTCTTATTTTTATTTAACAGTGATTTAGAATTAACCAATATTTGTAAACATCGAATTTGTTTTATCAATAAAGGTAGATCTTCTATCACAGAAGTCTTCTAAGACCACATTATTAGTTTACATATTGATATGTAAAATTAAGTAGATGATTATCTGAAAGGATTATATTAAGAGGAATTTAGCATCATATGAGAGATGAATTTGTAAATGGAAAGGAAGTAATCTGAAAGATACAAAGTGCTTAAAGATGAATTGATAAGACAACAGTTCCTTCAGGTGGTTTAGAAATTTAAATAAGGGAGAAATTACATGGAGGAATTAGAGAAATACAAAGAACTCGATGCAAAGTGGATGCAAAGTAGAGAAGCAGGAAGTACAGGGGTTAAGGTGCTTACCTTGCATGCAGGTGACCCTGGTTTACTTCCTGGCACTACATACAGTTCCCTGAATCATCCCTGAGTACAGAGCCAGATATAACCTGTGAGCACTCACTGAATGTTACCCCACGTCACATCACCCCCAGAAAAAAGAGGGATTCACATAACCAGCAACCAGAGAGGACTACTTATGAAGAAACTTAACCATGAGATCACTTGTCAAGTATTGGTCAAGGTCAGTTCAAAATATAGGTGATTACAGAATGGAATGGAAGCAAGTATTTGCCAATAATTCATCTGGTAAAGGATTAATATCCAATGAATAATTCTATCAAAATTAGGGTAAAGAGGTTAGAGGGAAAGAGGAAGGATGAGGGCGGGGTGGGCAGGGGGAGGGATACTGGGGATATTGGTGGTGGAATATGTACACTGGTGGAGGGATGGGTGTTCAGTCAGTGTATGACAAACTCGAACATGAAAGTTTTGTAACTGCGGCTCACAGTGATTCAGTTAAAAAAATTAATTCTCTCAGACAGCTATTTTCAGGGTAGCACAACAGTGAATAAGTCCCACAGCAATGAGATGGATACACTCATATACAAGAATAAAAACAACCAATCCTGCTGTGGATGTGGTGGGGGAAAAGGAATCCTCATCCACTGATGCTGGAAATATCAACTGGCTTAAACTCTTTAGAAGATAATATGGACACTTGAAAAACTGAGAATTGATGCCTCCATATGATCCAGCAATTCCACTTCCTGGTACCTGCTCTAGGGGCAAAAGACAGTTCTGCTTTTATTTCATCGTAACACTATTCATAATAGGCAAGATTTGGAAACAGTCTGAGTGCCCCAGAACAGATGATCAGATAAAGAAATCCTAGTACATATACACAGTGGAATATTCCTAGAAGGATAAAATCTTACAATTTGCCACCACATGGATGAAACTAGAGTGCATCACGCTGAGGAAAGTCAGTCAGGAGAGTATCAAATGCAGAATGATCTTTCATATGTAGGATATAAAGAAATACAGTAAGAGAGGAACAAATGGCCAAAGACAAAAGAACTGAAGAGTCTGGTCTACAGAACAGATTATACCTGTTGGGAAATGGGAGAGATGGAGGGACACTGGTGACCATGGGACATTGGTTGGAGGGAGAGTGCATGGTGGCTGCAGGTGTGGTGTTGGAATGATGCATGTATGAAGCTATCATTTAAAGTATTGTAAATTGTAGTACTTCAACAAAAGTCCACAGAGGTTATAAAAAAATAACCATTTGTATGTATTTTTGATATTTTGTTATTAAAATTTTTATCAATGACACATTAGTTAAAAGTTTTTGGGATAAAACATTACCACACCACACCCACCACCAAAGGGTCAGTATTCTCACAAAACGTTATTATTATTATTATTCTCTGATAATTCTATCAGAGAATTACTTTGTATCTTTCAGATTACTTCCTTTCCATTTATAAATTTATCTTTCATTTGATGCTAAATTCCTCTTAATGTAATACTTCCAGATAATCATCAAAACATTATTATCATTCTCTGAGAAGTCTACCGACTTGATAACCTGAATTTTTATTTTAGTCTAAGATTTTTTTTCCCATTGGGCAATGTTTTTTCCCATTGGCAATGTTCCTTAATTTATTTCTGAATATACCGTATATGAGTTAGATAATCTCGTTGTCTTTTGGCTTCTGATTTGTTTTATTTCACATAATCTCTTCAGATTCCAACCATGTTATGTCAAACAGCAAGATACTATAATTTCTTGTTAGGTGAGTCACATTGCATTGTATTAGCTATACTCATTCATTTACTCATCTGTCATTGTGAATCTGGTTTTGCTTCCTGGTCTTGACTATTGTACACAGTGCTGGAATGAACAAAGTATGCGCATATCTTTTTTAAATCAGTGGTTTTTGTTCATTTGGGGGCCACATCTGGACTCGCTCAGGACTTGCTCTTGATTCTGTGTGGAGGCTTCAGTACTGGTATTGCTCAGAGGATTGTTTGCAGTGCCAGAAATCTAAACAGGGCTGGCTACATTTGAGGCAAGCACCTGTTAATCCCCATTTAGGGTTTACTTCTGGCAGTGCTTAAGAGACTATATGTAGTGGTAGAAATACTGTTTTGCTTTTAAAAAATTAGCTTCAGCATGGTTGTTAACACTTAAGAATTCAATAGATGTCTGTACATTGATTTTGTTGCCAGTAGCTGTTACTATACTGTTTACATTTATTGTTTCTAGAACTTCTTTATTGGATTTTTTTTTAGGTTTTTCTATGTACAAGTCGGCTGCGTGCAAGGCAAACGCCCTACCCGCTGTGCTATAGCGATAGCACAGCAGTAGGGCGGTTGCCTTGCACGCAGCCAACATGGCCGACCCGAGTTCGATTCCTCTGCCCCTCTCGGAGAGCCCGGCAAGCTACCGAGAGTATCTCGCCTGCACGGCAGAGCCCGGCAAGCTCCCCGTGACGTATTCGATATGCCAAACACAGTAACAACAAAGTCTCCAATGGAGACGTTACTGGGCCCGCTCGAGCAAATCGATGATCAACGGGAGGGCCTTTACTATGTACAAGAGCATTTCTTCTGCAAATAGTGATAGTTTGATATTTCTACCCATCTGAATTCCTTTGATTTCTCTTTCTTACCATTTAATAAGTATGGCAAGGACTTTTAATACTATGTTCAATGGTATCAGTGAAAGTGGACATCTTTGTCGCCCCAGCTTAGAGGAAAGTCTTTCGGTTTTTCCCCATTGAGGAACATGTTAGCTGTGATTTTATTGTGTATGGCCTTTGTAGTGTTAAGTTCCTTCAATCCATTTTCTTTAAAATTTTTGTTTTGGGGTCACACTTGGCAATGCTCAGGGGTTGCTCATGGCTCTGCTCAGGAATCACTCTTGATAGTTATTGGGGGATAATATAATATGCCCGGGATTGAACCCAGATCAGCTGCATGCAACTCAATGGCCCTACCTGCTTTACTTTCATTCTGTTCTCGGGCACTTGGGTTGCCCCAAATTCCCATTTTGTTCTGAAGGTTTTCAACATCAACATGGGTGTTGAATATTGTCAAGTGCTTTCTTTATTACAGGGATGATCATATGACTTTGTAGTTCCTTTTATTAATATGATGTAAAACATAATTGAGTCCAGAAGAAATAAATGGACAATTAATTTACAATAGAGGTTAGTTGCATGAAGTGGAGCAATGAGAGTCTCCTTTTAAAAATGATGCTAGTGGGGCTGGAGCCATAGCACAGCGGGTAGGGTGTTTGTCTTGCATGTGGTTGACCCGGATTTGGCTCCCAGCATCCCATATGGTCTCCTGAGCACCGCCAGGGGTAATACCTGAGTGAAGAGCCAGGAGTAACCCCTGTGCATTGCCGGATGTGACCCAAAAAGGAAAAAATAAAAAAAAATGATGCTAGTGAAGGAAAATGTGAGCAGAACCCTCCACGACATTGAAGTTAAAGGCATCTTCAAAGATGAAACACCACTGACCAAACAAGTGGAAGCAAAGATAAACAAATGGGACTGCATTAAACTAAAAAGCTTCTGGACCTCAAAAGAAACAGTGACCAAGATATAAAGACAGCCCACAAATTTGGGGAAAAAATTTACCTAATGTCCATCTTAGAAGGGTTTAATATCCAAAATATATAAGACACTGGTAGAACTTTCCAAAAAAACAAAAACAAAACATCCAACCCGATCAAAAACTGGGGAGAACAAATACAAATGAACAGAAACTTTCTCAAAGAAATGAAAATTCCCAAAAGACATGAAGAAATCTCTACATTGCTAATCAAGGAGATGCAAATCAAAACAACAAAGATATCTCACACCAGAGACTGGCACGCATCAAAAAGGACAAGAGCAACCAATGCTGACGTGGATGCTGGGATAAAGGGACTCTTCTTCATTGTTGGTGGGAATGCTGACTGGTCCAGTCTTTTTGGAAAACAATATGAGCATTCCTCAGAAGAGCTAGAAATTCAACTTCCATATTACCTAGCAATACCACTTCTGGGAATATACTCTGGGAGCCCAAAAACACACAACAGAAATGCCACCTGCACTTCTGTGTTCATTATAGCACTATTCGCAATAGTAAGAATCTGGAAACAACCCAAGTGCCCAA